ACCTTTTAGTTTTCAGTTTGATTTTTGTGTGTAAAATTGCTGCAGTGAACAGACTGGGCTGTCAGGAGCAGAGAGCGCACTGAGACGCCATGGTGGCGCACAAACAGATCTGCCTTCTCACCTCGACTAACCCGGAATATCTTCACCACCTGTACAGATGGACTGTGTAAATTAAAAATGCCTGGAAATAAAGCCAGAGACAGCTCTCACACAATCGCTACTCTCTATCCTCATCATCAGTCCTCATGGTGCATGAAGCATAGTCTGTATGACTGCTGTAAACATATAAATACAGCATGACGCATGGCTGCGCTATGGCACTGCAGAGGAAAACACGAGTGGAAGGATTAGAGTGTGTCCATGAAGATTTCCTGGCCCATGATGATGACTGGCTAAGATCAAACATTAACTTCTCCTCCTGTACATGTCAGAGCACTTAGCTAAAGTCCACAAGTGTACAGTACATTTATGACTATTATACAAAGGGTAGGGACATGTAGCCATAAAGCTGATGTCCCATCGGCATTCACACTGAGGATCAGATTGGCCAAACACTATCTGGCCTTTCAGGTTGGATATTTACAGCTTTAGTAGAATGGACCTCCAGGACTGAACTGTTGAACCCACTGGGTTTGATGAATGACTTTGACAACAGGCCTATGAAATGATTTATTATTATTTATTTTCTAAAACCATGCCTTTTCAAATTCAAAAGCTCAGTTTGCTTTTTAATTTTCATTGTCAGCTGATCTCCGTGCTGTTCAGCAAGTTGCGTAGTCTGAAATGTGAATCGGGAAAGGACGCGACACTACACACGAAACACCTGTTGTTTTTTATTATAAAGGGAAAAAAATTATAAAGACACAATATGGGTGAAAGAATAGATCATCACATGCAAGTAGCAGGGATCGTCTGAGCTACAGAGAGAGCTGGAGGTGAGTAAAAAGTGTTTTGCAGTGAAAGAGTAGCTGCCCGCTCTGCCAGCTGCCTGCTCTCATTGGCTGGATGTGTCAGAAATGTGTTGGGAAGCCATTTTGATGCATTGTTGAGTAGTTCACACATAACAACTGGCGACCGCCGATCGATCGCTGATTTACCCCTGATCACAGCCCGACGGTCGCTGAGCTCACCGATGGGCAAATTGGGTTTAAAATCGTGTAGTGTGAACTAGGTTTTACAGTGCCTAAAGGATCTGTTGCTAACGTCTTAGTGCCAGATACCGCAGGACATCTTCAGAGGTCTAGTGGTAGTCCATGTCTCGACAGATAACAGCTGTTTGGGCAGGAAAATGGGGTCCTACACAATTTAAGGCAGGTGGTCATAATGTTATGGTTGATCGGTGTAAATATAGCAGGACAATGCTGAAGGACAAGATAAATTGTTAAATTTTGGATTAATTACAGATAAAATAGAGAGCAGTGTTTAAGTAGTAAACTTCATATCAGTTCATTCTTATAAGATGCTAGCCTAAATTTGTCTTTTTCTCAGAAGAACACGGTTTACAATAAAAATATACTTGGGTTTAAATGGAGCTTTCCTCTGGAAATCAACAAATTCTTTAAACACAACTAGACAAATACTTAAAAAGCATTGATAACAAATAAAATCTCAATTTAAATAAATGAATAAAATTTAATATTGTCAGTCCTGGCTACAAAACATGCAGGTGAAGAGACTAGTAAACTAACAAGGCATGTATAATCAAACGTTTAAAGGGGGGAAATGTTTTTCACAGATCCATTTCTGCCAATCAGACAATCTTCAAAACTCATTTTAATTTGGTATGGCCAGTAGTTTAATTTAGATATCCCAAAATCACAGATCACAACTTTGCCTCTAGTGGCTTCACACAGCACAAAATTTGTTAACATCCTCATTTAGCGCCAGATTTCCTAAAGGTTTGCGTGAGCAAAAACGTGTGCAAACTTGAGCAATTTCATGTGAGAGCAACAGCATCTGTATTTAATACGTTTGAAAGGAAGGTGCAAACCGCCAAGTGTTGCAGAGATGGCTGCTGTTATCGGAGCGAGAAGGAGACACAGCCGTAATGAAAGAAGATGTAGAGAAATTAAAAATAATAGATAATATTATTCTTTATCCAATACATAGCCTATAAATAAAATTTTTTTCTTTTATTAACCCTGTTTGTTTTTGTATTTTCCTTTAGCTTTGGCAATACTGTTATACTAACATTCATGCAAAAAAAAAAAAGCAAATTTGGTTTTGACCTGACTTCTTTTCTCCGTGAGATGGAAGAATTTAGAAAGTTGCGTGGCGCTGCAGAGAGCCCCCAGCTGCAGTAGTGCATGGATCACTCGTAAAATTCATCCAGCCAGAGGGAACGATCACCAACTGTTCACATCGGGCCGGTCGTTATAGCGACACAACCCATTGCAGGTATCAGAGAGGGAATGGGGCGTTGGGGCGTACAGGGCCAGGAGATCTCGGAGCGACCGGGCACGCTGCGGACGGTCGGCGATCGTTCCCTCTGGCTGGATGAAGCACGATCTGCTGGCATTTCCTCACGTCTGGGTCATTCCAGCATACTGTAGCTGTTTCTGCTGGGGTTTTTCAGGTGTGCTGTCCCAAGTACTTAGTGCGATCTCAGGCAGGATGGGCAGGTACATCCGATTACCACATACTCAGGACGCACTGAATGAAACAAACCAAGGTTTTTATGCGGTGGCTGCTTTCCCTCCCAATTTTCCACGGCGGAAACCATTAAAACACGCACCCTCATTTAAATACGGCCACCTCCATTGTGTTTGCTCCTGTTGCCATCTATGCAATAATTCTTAGTAAATCACCCATAACAGGTTCTACAATTGCACGTGCAATATTTTAGAATGCACACGCAATTTAGTTCTCTTTATTCGGGATGTTAGTAACTGGCCCTTAGTAATTTTGTTAGTCTGTTTGTTTAAATATATCAGAATATGTAATAGCTGATTATATTGGTAGGCTTTGTTGAAACACAATAAATGTGTCAAAATCGATTGATTGAAAAAATTAGAAAATGAATACAAATTAAAATAACAAATGAAAAAAACATGCATGTGGCGTATGAGAAGTCTGACTTGCTATATTTTATTAATTAAAAAGCTTTGTTGAAAAAATGTGTTAATCCTTAGCAGAGTAAGGTATTAAGAAAGTACCATTCTGGTAACAGTACTAAAACTTCATCAGCATCAGTGTTCCATATCAGTATGAACATACCAATAACTTCATAGAAATGTTAAATATAGACAGAAAACAGTTCATTCAGCTCTTTGGGTGTTTTTGTTTATTTGTTGCTGAAAGCAGGAAACCCCAAACCAGGACACTTAAAGATGATAATGACAGCAGGTTGCAATGGAAACTGATCAAAGCGATAAAGGTTTCGCTATTTGACTCTCTTCCTTTCCAACAGATAAGAAGTTCTCTCTTTCTTTCCTGTCATTTGTCTGTTTCACCCATGTGGACAAACTATCGAGACAATCACATGTGTGTTTATCGCAACACAGCCTGAGCTCAGGGTTTCTCCAGTACTCAAACACAAGAGAAGGTGAATAGTGTGCTGTTTAGTTCAGTTAACAACCTGCACATATTTCAGAGATCACGAGTTAAACTTTGACCAATTTCAGGTTGCTCTTCTGTTATCATGTTAATAGGGGTGGGCTATTTGAACAAAATGTATAATAGTCATGCGTACTATCTTGATATCAGTTAGTTACAGTATGGAAGCAGGCTACTGGACATAAGAGTTGATTAGTGGGGATCTGTTTGAAAGCTTTGACTCATGAATTAGCAGGAGCTAGCTAACATGTGTCCATTGGGAGGGACCACTATGACATGAATTGGAGATTATACCTATAAATTTAACACTTTGTAAAACTAGGGTATGGTTTGTTGTCATTCAAAAAAGGGACGGCAATACAGACTGCTCCTTCGGTGAGTCCAGATCCCAAACACCTGTGGGTCTGTTTTGGTCTTGGTCTATTTAGTATATTTAGTTTCCCATGACTTTCCTTTTTCTTTATAAAGGTGTTTGTAACTGCCAAATTTGACATACATGAATGTAAATGCAGTAAACCTAGGCCCCTCCTGCTTGCTTTTAAAATTGACCTGTGAGTAATTTTGATTCAATTAGGTTTTCCAAAAATAAGAAGGCTGTGAAAACTGTGCTTTAATGTACAACTTTAACATAAAGATTTGTGTGTTGTATATATTTACCTATGTTGCTCCTTTTGGTCTATTTATTCTGTGTATTTTGCTTTTCTGATTTTATGGTTGTCTCACCAGGTTTTGTTTGATTAAATCCATTCTATGGATCTCACTGTTTTTTATTCTCTGACTGGCTGGGAATGCCCAGAAGCTGTTTTAGTATAGTTTGCAGATAGCTTAAGGTTTTCTGGTAATACAGAAACCCTGTATCACCACTCACAGTGGTTCTCTATTGCTTGGCAGAATTTCTTATTTATTGTAATGTTACAAAAAGAATGTTATTACAGATGGAAAGTCACCTTGAGGCTTGAAAAAGCACAGGACATATCTGTGCCTTTTCATTAAATTTACACTTGCATGTATTTAGTGGCTGGGTCTGCCTTCGAGGTGTATTCTTTGAGTGAAGTTCATCTCAGCAGATGCAGTGCAATTGGTTTGAGATCTCCAAGATCATAAAAATTAAAGAGTTGAATGTGACCCTCCACAGAATATTCACTATTTCAGTAATGACATCCCAAAAGGTTTACTGAGGTTGCAGTTTAACGCCACCTGAGAAAACCTTACCACAGCCTTAAAATACAGGCCTATTTAAATTATTAATGCAAAAGGAGGCAGTGATCAACTTAAATGTACATTTACTAGTTGTCCTGATCAGGTCATTGGAGGCCTTTTCTCAGTTTTAAGTACACCAGTTTTAAACTAAAAGAAAAGAAATATATGCTCTAAACCCCACTCTGAGTTTTGAAATCATAAAACTGATAGATTAAAGACAGCACAGCACTAAAGGTCAAACTCACCCTCATGCCAAGGACCAGGAAGCCTATCTCCTCCATCAGTGGATATTTTCTGATCTGCTGTTCCCGTTTCTCCAGGGAGGCGAATGGATCGTAGCTCCGCTGGCCGAGCTTCACATCCATGATGCACGGCTTGACAAAGCGTCGAGTCACATCCTCCAGCTTCAGGTACAGATCTGAGGTAGTGACACAGATGTAAGAATGATGATGACGGTATGGGTTATTACTAGCTTGTTCATATGAGACTGATGTTGGCTTTTTATTAAAAAAAATCCTACAATCACACAGTCAGTATTAGTTATAACATGATTGTGACATGATGGAGGTTGTTCCATGACCTTGGCTACATGTCAGTATGTCTTTTTTTTCTTTCGACATCAGATGTCTGACAAGAGAAATATTTAGTGTGATTTAGGAGGGTTTAAACCTGCAGTAAAAACCTCCTCATATCACATACAAAATATATAATATTTAGAGAATAAGAAGAATCATTTAGAAGAAATAGCAGTAGCTAATGGTATTTGGATTGCATTGCCAAAACTTTTTCTCTCCAATCTTTCCAATATTTTTTTCTGTTAAACTGATGTGGCTTTTACCCATTTGTCCCACTGAGAGCTGCAGTGGGCTGGACTTATTACAGCACACACTGGGTCAGAGGGATTACCATCAGAGCTAAATCAATATATTGGCAGATATTAGCTTACTGTAGATTTATCTGTATATAACAAGAAATGGCAGGACAGAGTTGCCAAACTGGGTTCTGACACTCCTATCTGGTTTATCCACCACAGAACACTGACGTTTAGTTTCCAACTGTAAAATGCATTGCTAAAAAGTAAAAAAATCAAGACCGTTAGTTTTTGGTATACGTTTATAAAAAACAAAACTGTTGGCCGATAACATTGGTTATTGGATCAGTATCGGCTTACAAAATCCACCATCAGCCATCTCACCTAACCTGCATTACACATGAGAAAGAGAGATGAATGCACGGTTCAGACTCTTACCATTGTGACTGTCAGGAGAGGACCAGGTGCCGTAGTACTTTGGCAGATGGTTCTGGAGCTCCAGAAGGCATGGATCACAGCAGTCTGCTGTATACACCTAGGACATAAATGCACACAAATCACTATACTATAAATGTTACAAATTAATACTGCATGTTTAGTGTAGAGCTGTATTTTCCGATGAAGTAGTAGTACAATGTGTAGTTTCCCTGATCTCTTCTAGCACTTCATTCCGCAACTGAGGGACTTTATTTAGGGTCGTAGGTCATGTACATATTCTGAGCTAACCCTCTAGGCATTTTACAGCACAGGGTTGTTTAACAAGATGAAGTTGTAGTTCCCTTTATACTACTCACAAAAACAAACGTTATATACAAAAATGATATCTAGGTGAGTGAATAAATCATAGAAATAAAACTATTCTACATGGTGCAGTGCTTAGGATGAATTTAGGCATCTGACAGCCTGGCAGAAGAAGCTGCTCTGCAGTCTGGTAATACGACAGCATGTACGACCAGTAGATCAACATCTTAACACTACTTGCTTCGAGGAAATGAGTGTGACTGCTGGTGCTATGGGCACATACTAGTCTTGCTAACTGACTATTCAGGTTTGTTAAACAACTGTCGTGGCCTGCGTATGGTTCAGAGCACAGAGGATAAAGCTTTTCGCAAAGTTGTTGACAACCTTTTAGAGAACTGTGACATACTATGTCTGCAAGAGACACTTTAAGCAAAGCAAGACATGGAAAAACTAAACTCTCAGTGATAAAATTCATGGGTCTGGGGAGTCTACAGCTGACCTTGTCATGGTCAGAGGCAGGATACCAGTGGGTGTGGCTACTTTATGGAATAAGAAGCCTGACCCATTAATAAATGTGCTCAGGCTTGGTGTTGACTACTGTATTGCAATACAGTTTACTCGCAATCAAAAGGAATTTATAATCCTAAATGTGTATACGCCCTATGAGTGCCGTTAGCATTAGGACGAATATCTTAAAAGGCTTGTTTTCATTATTTCCATTATTCAAGAGAATACGTCTTCTAGTGTATTTGTCATTAAGGATATGAATGAGGACATCTCAGACAGAAACTTTGTCATCTTTTATGCATCTACCTAGAGACGCAATTTTGTGTAGTAATGTTAACCTGAGAATGTGGACCATAGGGGAGATCTCTTCTCCAAGTATCATGAGATTGTAAGTGTTCTGTATGAAGAGAGTAAGCAATACTACAAGCGTAATCACAAAACATTAGGCTTGGCAAGAACTAGTAGCTGAGTATCATGCTGAAGCCTGAGAAGCCAAATAGCCCCAGAGAAAGGCCTGTGCTCGAGTGCAAGAAACTCCCTAATGCAATATAGTCCCTGACTCTAATCCAAAAATAAAAAGAGGTGGCGCTGAGTCGGACCAAATGGGTCAAAATATAATTTAAACAGGTCGGTTATTTAAAATCCCCCCCTGCACAGTTGTCATGAAGGGAAAAGCTAGCTATAGAGACCTGTCTCTATATAACAGGAGGAAATAGTGCTTTTGTTGGGGACTATTTTCAGCAGCAGATTAATTCACATTTGCTGATAAAATTCAGCTGCATTTACATGCTCCTCGGATGGTCCCATTTCCCAAGTGGGGAAGTCGTTCCATTTGGAATGTCTTCTATCTATATTGACTGATAAGTCATTCATCAAACCAAATGTGTTCTCTCTGTTTTATATCATTGTAAAGTGAATATCTTTGAAGATGTCACTTTTCACTATGTTTTGACATTTTACAAAAAATGACTTTATCTAAGTTAACAAATAATTCAATAATGAAAAAAATTATTAACTGAAGCCTTAATATCAACTAAATCTTATAAATTGGCTATATAATCAAAGCAATGGTAACAAATGCAAAGTGGAGTATTAGATTATATTTCAGGCTAATTGTTTTCACAGATTTTTCAAAGGCTTACTTTTTCACACCTCACACACTTGTTCTTTTTCTTCATGTTCTTTTCTGACATTTCATGCTCATGTGTCATGTTCATGTTTGCACTGAAGAAATAGTGAAACTTGGTTTGTTCAACAAATTGGATTCTTATGATCTGATTTTCACCTCGCTTCTTGCATGCTTTTATTTTTTAATATCACATTTTGAAAAGTTTATTTAAAATAAATAAGAAAACTAATAAATAACACTATAAACATAGTATAAAGGTTATGACGCATTACCATGCTGTAAAACTGCATCTCTCGTGGACCTCTGGGTGGAGGCTGAAGCTGCTTCAGCACTGTTCCATCTGGATGCTGCAAAATACCTGCACCAAACACATATGGGACGAAGAATCAATGAAAAGTTTTTGGTTATTTAAGCATTAAATAATAATAAGTACCAGCTGAAAAAGGATGTTGTTTTAGGATGTTGTGTATGTTTTAGTATCTCAGTGGTACAGTACTGAAGTACAGTCCAATGATAAAACAGTTCATTCAGAAGTAAATCGCTGTAAAGTGAAAACATTGTTCACTTAACCATTAACAGTTCACTGAGTTCACAACCTTAGGTTAATATTAAATATTATATATCAAAACAACACACACACACACCCACACACACCTTAGACAGCAACAATAAAATACAAGTGAAGAGAGATGAAGACAGAGGGAGGACAGAAGCACTAAGTGGAAGAACATGATAGCACAACAAATAGAATCTGTGCATACAGTGAAGATAAAATTAAGAAATGTGTTACTGAGAGGAAATTAATGAGCGAGAAACAGAGAGAACAGCATGAGGGACTTTGCCCTTAATATAGATAGGACAAACTTAACTCTACCATCATCACCCTACACTCACGCTACGTTTACACAGCCTGGCAAACATGAGCCTTTGTTCACAAACTCCATCTGATTCATGAGCATGTAGACAGGGAAAAAGTATCTGATATGAGAAATAAATGTAGGACCCAGGGCATGTATTTAACCCGTGTGGGTCATAGTCCTGCCTGACCAAAAATTCTCAGTCACACCTTATTTCGTTCTACTTTTAGGACTAGAATTAGCATTAATCAACATTCTTTACCTAGCAAAGGATTCCTCTCTCTGCCAGCATTTAGGAGAGCTCCTCTGAAATGAATGAGGGGGCTGTCTGAACAAGAGCAGCAACAATGAGTCAATTAATCGATTAGTCAATTGATGGATATTTGATAATCAATTTTTTCAAGAAAAAAAGATTTGATGGTTTCAGCTTCTCAAATGTGAGAATTTGCTGCTTTTTCTTGTCTTAACATTAGGTTAAACTGAATATCTTGGTTGGACCAGATAAGACATTAAGACGTCATGCTGGACTCTGGGAAACAGGGGTCCATCCAAACAACAATGTCTCTCCTGTCTCTCTCTGTTTCTCCTGTCATTGCAGATCCAGCCACTCTCTCCTGCCCTTCAATTACCCAGTTCTGCCCTTCATCGCACCTGAGCTTCCCCGACCACCTCATCACCTGCATCCCATTCTCTCAGTCTAGTGTGCTTTGCCTTTTGTATCCTGTTTGCCAGAACTTTGCCTGACTATTGAAGTTTAGGATTCCCTTCCCTGCCCCTCGTTAGATTTGTTTGTTTGTGTTGCTTGACCAAGTGAACTTAACTTCTTTTTGATAAATCGCTCTCATGCAGACGTGCTTTTGGACTCTAGTCTGCCATTAATTCATAGACATTACACAAACAATTAATAAAGTAAATAACTGGCAGATTCACTAGTCTGAACACAACCTTACCAGGAGAGAAACATTAGGCATAGGCATGGTGGGATGAGAGATGTTTAGGGAAAGTATACTGACAATGAGCTTATTAAGATATATGACTTTGGCAACATTGTAATCATTGTTGTTACTGCTCTTGTGTAGGATATAACAGTTCCATCAACAAGTTCCTTACAACCTTATGCTTTTGGGCAAGAGGAACAATTCAGCTTTTCAACAATGAAGACTTGGGTAAGTCCCAACTGACAATTTTGGCAGAATAAAATGTTTTCACACCACAGCAAAAATAATTCACACAGTAAATTTACTTTCACATCATTCAGTACAAAGTCATGGCGGAAAATGCTACGCAGAGCTGTTATAGGCATTGTACAATGTGTGCTTGAATAGGGCTAACTAGAATCACTAAAAACAGCTAAGTGACATTTGTTACTGAATTAATATGGTTTTGGTCATGTTACCTTAGGAGAGATTCTGACACGCCCGACAAACACAGCCCAAATCTGCTGATGTGACTTTATTGTAAACACAAGCCATTATTTGTTTGTACAGGCCACACCACATGCTATTATTTGAGATCCAGCGCTTAGCTGAACAATATAAGAATACTGTCCTTTATCTGAAAATTACAGTAAGTCAATAAAAATTTACAACAAATTTGTTCTTGGTTCATGGTTTCGTGTTGTATTAAATTTGTGTTGGCACTAAGTTACATTCTAGTAGTAAAATCACCTAAAGTTACCCATAAATGTGGCTCCCTTTGCCAGCCTATTTCCAGAGTAGAAGAAAGATGCAGAGAAGAAAAGATAAGTGCCTTGTTACATCATCAAATGCTGACCACCGCTGATTACAGACAGCGCTTTGGAGAACACACACATGCAAATACTAAACAATACACAAAACATCCATACACATCTAAAAATAACCTGCATAGGGAAAGCAGCATATTAGCAAATATATATATATCCTTAGGTGGTATCGCAGTATACCAGGGTATTTAGAAATCCAGACTTTCAACACTGTCAAAAATACGAACGCTGCTCTTTCTGTTAAAATGATACAGAAATGCTGCATTGAGCTAACGTAGGCGGGCGATGGCGTGTGAAACTGCCTGATATCATCTACAAGGCAACAACCCCTTCTCACTCACACACACACAGGCTGTAGCTGCAGCCATTATTCTCTGACTTTAACCTACCCCGTACATTTACTGCTAAACCTCTCTCCTCACCGTTCCTTCTGCTCCGCTGCATTCACCTGCCGCTCTCTCGCTCTGCCACACACTCACTACGCTCACCAAAAGCAGCGACTCATCTGTGACTGCGAGTGATGGGGTAACGCTACAGGACATGTGAACAAGAGAAAAACCTCTGCCCCTCTTTGGGAGGATTTGGGGTTTAGATATTGATTCTCAGGAACCTAAAACTATTCACCTGCTCCACCTCAGCTCCACTGATGTAGACATGAAATGGTGTCTTCACCTCCTTTTTTCCAAAAATCAATGATCAGCTCTTTGGTTTTGCTGACGTTGATCAGTAGGTTCTCCTCTGTGCACCGCTCTGCAAGACTGCTGATTTCCAGATATTAAGTCTCCTCGTAATTTGAAATCTGGCCGATGATAGCGGTGTCGTCCACAAACTTCCCAACAGAGTTCTCTCCATGTCAGGGGATGCAATCATGGCTGTACAGCATGAACAGGAAGGGCCTGAGCACCAGACGTGGGAGTAAGTCACACATGTCTGAGTCACAAGCAAGTCCCAATTTACTGTGATGAACTTGATGAAAATCAGTCAAGTCATATGAAATTCTTAGGAATTCAGTTAATGTTGAAACTTGAGTGCTTCTGTTCTCTGTTCTAACTATATTGAACTTTAAACAAAAGGTGTTTCTATTATTTAGCCTACAATAATCTTCAGTGATTATTGAAATGGGGTAGAAAAATAGTAGCAGGAACCCCGAGTCAGTAACATTAACAAAGTTACAACTGCACCAACCTGCAGCAAAACAAAATGAGCACACAGCTGAATTAACAGCTCTCTAAAATAGTTTAAAACAATGTATTACAACATTAATGAAGCTAAGATTTATTACAGAAGCTTTTGGCCGTTATGAGTTTACAATCCGGGTACTCATGGTGCTTTGCATTTTTCCATACTTGTCAGTGTGAATGCACTTTATGCAGTCAAATTGCAAATTGAGCAATGAACACATCAGGGTGGAAAACATTTAAATAAAACTGGAAAATAACAAAACCAAAACTGTCTTCTCTCTAATGTGAACGCACACATGGTTGTGGGATTATGCAGCAAACGTTGGAATGAGCAAATATTTAATGAAAAAATCCTTTTTGAAGTCATCTGTCTCAAGTCATAAATACCAAGTCAAAGTCAAGTTGAGTCTTTTATCTGTTTTAGTCAAGCAAGTCTCAAGTCTTCAAATTCTCTTCAGACTCGAGCCTGACATGAGTCAAGTCTTGTGACTTGAGTCCCCCACCTCTGCTGAGCATACAGCCCTGGGGGGCTCCAGTGTTAAGTGCAATTTATACTTCTGCGTCAAATCGACGGCGTAGGTGACGGGGCTACGCAGAGGCTAATGCACTAGAGTTGAGGAGGTGTGGCCTCTATGGATCTGCTATTGTGATGCCACTGTTTTCTCAGGTCTAAGCAGTTACTTTGGTGAGCATAGTGTTATCCTAACGGAGAGAACCTTTTAGTGGGACGTCCGCTATTTGTTGGGTATACTGTGTAATATACTATATTGCTTTGGTATACTATGCCCCATATATGGAACACATGGAAAGAGATGGACAGTTTCAAAATATCAGCCGCCTATAGTTTGAGAGAGGACAGTGTTAATGTTTACCTCCCTCAAACCAGAAGCCGTCATTGTGGGGTTTTATAGGTAGTTTTAGTGCCTGACGATCTACTGTAAATGCTGATTCAGTTGCTTCTCCACCTAGGACGGGGCGACATGGCCAAAAATATTTTCACAACAAAAACGTTATATCATTTGGTATCGATAATTATCACAAGAAATTTTAAATCATTATTTCTTTCAAGTTTATTGGTTAGACACTAGATGATTAATTGTGGTTTTAAACTACTCATTCTGGTCAGAACATGACAAACACTTGTGGATTGCTTCACAAATCTGAGGTAGAACATTCAAAACAATTAAGATAATATCTTTTTTCAACAAATATGCATGAGTAAAATTAAGTAAAAATTTTTTAGTCCCTTTTGCTCAACAAAATAAATATCTTAATAGAATAATTAAATGCTAATTTGTTGGTGAAGTGAATTAAACCAAACACTTACTGAACATCTGTTATATTGTTATTGAGGAGAATTATATCGCAATAATTATAGTGATTATTTTATTGCCCAGCGCCATCTCCACACTGGTTAATCAATAACAGCAGTCAGCAGCTCCATTCCGAAGTTATGGGTTTTTACTGGTTCTCTACCCCTAAAACCATGATCTCCAACCATCCTTTGGAGGTGTTTTATAAAACAGACCTGACTGAAAAAGGGTTTCAGGTATAAGTTTACAAAGTCCTGCCCTGCCTGTAACATTTAGAATCAACAGGGAGCAGCTGACAGGTGAGGTCTGCGGAGTACCATAACCGGACTTTCACCTTTGCCTTTCTGTCTTGCATCAGACGCTGTAAATATGATCTAACCACACACAAACACACACCCACACATATGCACACACATGCGCATATACTAGAGGGCGACACAGGAGTGGATTTTCACTTCTGTCCCATCCCACAGAAATATTATTGTCCCATCCTAATCCCAAAAGAATGACTCATGTTCCCAATTTAAAAAAAAATAAAACAGAAAATAGCATTATTATTAATACAGAATATTTACAATAGGCCTACAATGATTAGCCATAACATTATGACAACTGACAGGTGAAGTGAAGAACAGTGATTATCTCATTACCATGGCACCTCTCACCAGCCTATATTAGGCAGGAAGTGAACATCTTGTCCTCAAAGTTGATGTTTTAGAAGCAGGAAAAATGGGCAAGCATTGAGCAACTTTGACAAGGGCCAATTGTGTTGGTTTGACTTGGTCAGAGCATTTCCAAAACTGCAGCTCTTGAGGTGTTCCTGGTCTGCAGTGGTCAGTAGGCTAACTATCATAAGTGGTCCAAGGAAGGAAAAGCAGTGGACTGGAAACAGGGTCATGGGCAGCCAAAGACTGGCCCGACCCAGTCCTGTGATGAATAGTGAAACTGACTCCCATCAGAATCAGAAGGAGCTTTATTGCCAAGTAGTATTTTACACATACAAGGAATTTGCTTTGGTGATGAGGTGCTACACGTAGACAGACACACAGTCGACATAAATAAATGTAGAAATATATAAATATGTAATAAACAAATGCAAGTTATATAAGAATGATAAAACAATAGGGAAACTACCAACTATTTGCAGAGAAAGAACAACGTGGCAGATATTTACATGTGCATTACTCTGGTTTGTGTTTGCAGACGTACTGCAACATCCCGCGGAAGAGATGGGAGTCAGTTACAGACAGACTGTGGAATCCTATGAACTCCAGGAGTCCCGTAAAAATGTCAGCCTCTACCGCGCGCGCGCACACACACACACACACACACACGAACTGTCCAACCAGCACTGACCACAGGTGGGGGATATGCAAGGAACAAAGGGATGAACCGGAGCCTCGTCCTCATCCATCACCATAGTTGTGAGCTAGAAAACTAGACAAACACAATGTCGACAGGTGCACAGCAACTATGTGAAGTGTGAAAACCTTTTACAAAATGTGACATTTCCCTCCCTCTCTCTGGATGAGTGGAACTAAAGGATAGAAGGGGGTAAATCACCGGGATGTATTCCCTGAGAATTTTACTCAACTTTCTGGGATTTGTTAGGTCCATTTCTATTTATATGATTATTATATGAAGAATTCTAATCACTTCTAGAGTTAAAACATGGATCAGCAACCATGTGACACAGAAGAATCCAACCAAAGACTAAATCAGATCACTTGTAAAAGAGATACAGAAATAATGAATGAAACCACCTGTTTCAGTCAGTGGTCAGTGAAAACCTCCACCCTTCATAGGACCAACTGCCCATCACTAACAGTGGCAGGAGGAGAGAGCAGAAGTACAAGCTGAACAGGATTCCAGTGCTTGTTCCACAACTGCTGTGGAGACTTAAGGAGTTAATGTCCAAATACCAAACTCAAGGAGGGACTAAGATAAGATCATTCCACATTCTCTACTGTTAAATATATTATTTTATCTAGGGAAAATGCTTTGCATATTAACGTCAGGAGTATTAGTATCAGAGTGGTGTCTCACTGCTATACTGAACGCCTCTTTCTTCTTCTTGTTGGGAGTTGACACCACAGACAGAGCAGACATATTCTATACAATATGTCAGAGACACAGATGCCTTCCCAACAATACAGACATTTAGATTCCATTATTGTGCCTTATAAATTTGATTCACTCAATTCCATTAACCGACTTTTTAATCATTATTATGTTGAGTGCAAACAGGTTTCATAGCACTAACTTGGTTTTATTGCTTAATTTCTGTTCAGCCAAAATTAACTGCTTTACTTCCAAAGACATTTGAAGGTGTCATCCGTCTTGTTCCAAGCGCTGTCACTGGCAAATAAATATAATGCAATATAACAATGAATGAAAAAATAGCATTTATCAAAGTTGACAATTAACCAGGTCGAAATCTGAATTTTGTTTAGGACTACAAATAATAATAATTATTATTGATGAATCAATCATTATTTTATTGACTGATTAATATTTAGTTTTTAGAATATTAGAACATTGAATAATTCCCAAGCTGATCATGTTTTGTTTTGGCCGGCCAACAGTCCAAAACCCAAATATATTCAGTTTACAGTGACTTAAAAACTGCAAGTCTCCAAGCTGCAGGAGCTGGCTAATTTTATTTAATAACTGACTTAACTGGCCACGGCCTGATGGTGACCCGCATACACATAAGAACACTACGACGTCACACGCAGCATGCTGTTGTATAGGAGTAAACATGGCTGTGACCCTGTTCATCCATTTGTTTGGATTTGCTTTCAAACACACCTGGTTATGATACGACCCCAAATACTTGAGGTCTGACACCTCACTGCCTTCCACGGACTACCTCCATTGCTGCCGTCTTCCATGTTTGGGTTCACTGTGGCTCCCAGTGGTTCAGAGTTGTGTTGATGGTCGCTCGAGCGACATCAGAGTCGCATGAATTCCAATTTCACTGTCCAGACTGAGGTCAGATTTCAAAAAATCTGATTTAAACCACATATGAAAGGAGCCCAAATCCAAACTGGAAAAGATCAGATTCCATGTGGACTGTTCACACTGATCTGAGTCACATTTGGCTATAGCTGAAAATGTCTGTTTGATGTTTTCACTCTCTCTTTCTCTCAGGTCTGGGTTCACTTAGCCTGGACCAAGTTTTCCCTTGATTGCTGCAACTTCCCACTATTTTCATTATGGATTAATCTGTCATTATGTTCTCGATAAATAATTTGGTCTATGAATGTCAGCAATTTGTGAAAAATGGCAATGGCAGTCTCCGAAGGCCAAACAGATGTCTTCAAATTGCTCATTTTGTCTGGCCATATATAAATAAATAAATAGGGAAATGTATTCTTTCAAATACACCTGAACTTTTAAGCCAACTAGAGCTGGGCAATTATACAATAATAATAATTACCACAATATAATTTTCCTCAATAACAGTATAATAAATGTTTGATTGAATTTATTTTAATCACAAATGATTTAGCACTTGTGTTTTTTTATTTAGATGTTTATTTTGTTGAAGAAAAGGACAAGATTTTACTTAATTTTACTCATGCACATTTGTTGAAAAAAAGATTTTTGTAATCATAAAATAGTTTTAAATGTTCTACCTCAGATTTTTAAGTGATCCACTGTCTGGCAAGTGTTTCTCATGTTAAGATCATAAAGAATAGTCTAAAACTACAATTAACAATACGTTGTTTTTTCCCCAACTTTCACCAGGAGCAAAAATCAGCCATTAAACTTTAAAGACATACTGATATGACATTTATCATGATAATTATCTATATCAACTGATATGAAGTTTCTTATCATGGTAAGATTTTTGGCCCTATCGCCCAGCCCTAAGGCTTATAATAACAATGTTATGTTATGGTACGTCTACACCCAGCATGTTTGGACCAGAAAGTAAATGTTGGATCACACCATAGAAAAATGAGTCTAGAGTACAGTCTACACTACATTAAGATAGCTCACATCCAACAGGAGCACTTCAGCTAAAATGGATGGACAGGTCTGTCCTGTCTCACTGCAGGCCACAGCCCATTCCTGGGAAGGTCATCCTGTCTTTCCCACAACATAAATATGCGTCTTCCAGGAGGTTGCAATTCCTCATTTAAGTGACTGACCAGCAATGACTCATCCATTTGAGATGGTGCTGTACCGGTCACCAGCTGCTGACTGTATCATGCTCAACACCTCGCCTGATAACACACAATGGAGGCTTTGATAATGTCAGGTGTCCTGTGTGCATGAGTGTGTCAATGAAGACTGGAGCAGATATGTCACGGTCACTAATCCACAAATCATCTCTGCTTAATTGATTTATTGCAGGGACCCACATGTAGGAATGCAGTGGTGTAAATTTGTAGTGAGACAGGTGCATGAATTCTACCTCATATACATGCTGCTCCCAATCCATCCATCGTCAACCCCTTATCCTGCATACAGGGTGGCAGGGTGCTGCTCCCAATGTATGAGAAAAATACCATGCCAAACTTCTATAACAAAATCTCCCAATTTACTGTTTCCTACAATACATAAACCTACCTGCTAGAGCAAGAGCTAAAACATGTTCTGAACTGCTACTTTGTCTTCCACACTTTGGTCCATCATACAGCAAACAAAACTTTTTCCACTGCACCCAAAAAAGTCATATAATGGCATTAGTCACATAAAAGGTAAAACTGACAAGCATCATTCGTTCATTCAGTGACCTGGTCTTAATAAAAAAAACACGAGTAAAGGAAGTCATGTTATTGACAGAAGTTCTAACTGCAGGTAAAGTAACTTTAGAAAAGGTCTCTTGTTCAGTTTACTTACCCACTTTATCCACACCATACTTGTGGCCCGCCACTTGATGTGAGAGTGGGACGCAGCCGTTTAGGTGAGCCTGGCCTTGTGGCGCCAGTGGCCGCTGTCCACTCTTCTCTTTCGCGGGAGCCCCGTCAGAGAGCCGCGGGGTCAGGCTGACCCCAACAGCGGCTGAACTGGGGGTCCGTTCCAGTCTGCCGAGAGCTAGTGAGGACTCCATCATCACTTGACGCTGAGTTGTTGACATTTGTAAAAAAAAAAAAAAAAAAAAAAATTAAAACGGCGAAAAATACGTCTTTGTCAAAGGGAAATATAGTATAAAAAGTCAACTACGTGACTGTATCGATTCACATACTTCTATTACGTAAGCACAGAATACTGCCCCGCACACAAAATGTTTGGGCGTGAGGTTGAGAAGCCTTCATGCAAATAGTCCAGTCCAGCAGCTTCGGTCGTGTTCGCTGTTTTCGACCACCAACCACAGTGACAGACAGCAACACTGTCGTTACCCACGCGGTGTCCGGTGCAGAAGCAGGGCTCCCGAAGCAGAGCTAATTCAATGGTTTTCATTTCTTGAACAGCAGCATAAATACATCCTGGCCACATCCCTCCTCCAACCAGTGTCAACCACAGCAGCACCAAGAGCGATTTCCGTTCGTAGCTACCAAAATAAAACCAAATTGAATCGAGACTTACAAACGCTGCAGTGAACCACGGTAATGATTAAATAAAGACCGATAAATCTGTCGTTAATAACAAGTCGACCGTGGTTTATATCCAAGCGTTACGACTCTGTCCGATCCCAAACTTCATTAAACGAATATATTTGGCGCCTTTACTATGAAGGTAGAATCACCCAACCTCCGGTCTTGTCTTTAACAAGTTCAGCTTCCCTGATGCAGGTCCACTTCCTCGCTTCAGATAAGTAAATACTGTCCCCCAGTAATGGTGCTGTTACGACACACTCCACAGTGATATCCAGTTCCAGTCAACAAATTAACAGACGGAGCGAGCGGAGATAATGACAGTCCCTTAGTTGCAGAAAGAGGCTAACATTATTTAGTCCAGGGTTTGATTGCTAACTTATTGATACTGTCCATTAGGCTTCCAGGCAAGCCCTTCCTCGCGTCACAATACATCAGACCAGAGGGACGTGACGCTGGCCCTACAACTGCCTTCAAGACGAAGGCTTACCCGCTGAAAATGAGCGCAAAAATGATGCACTAACGTCCTCAAATCCATGGTAATAAAAGAGGTCGATATCCAGGTCACTGTAGGCAGCTGCCTGTCTACACAACGAACAGCGTCGATATCTTCCTACTACCCGTTTTGCGCCAAGTCCCGCCCTACTGTGCTCTGATTGGCTAGCTTGTTTCTTCGTCGCGTCCTTGTGATGCAATACTCGTTCCACCGGTTTCGTTGGCACCACCAGTTACGATACTGTAATAATATAATAATAATATACAAACATTAATATATATAATTAACACATTAAATCAGTAGAGGGGATGCAACTCAGTTAACTCGACGCAATGTAGTGTATTCATACTTTTACTTTCATTACTTTAATCAGTGTGTTGCCATCGATAAAAACAAAGGTTTAGAGAACTGTATAGAGTAACATTATAGGCTAAATTATACATAATTTTAGTTAAAATAACATTTCTTATTTTATCTAGGGAAAATGCTTTGCATATTAACGTCAGGAGTATTAGTATCAGAGTGGTAAATTAACTAATCAGATATTTTCTATTTCCTAACACCAACTAGAACCGGAACACGGATCTCTATCATCCTACGGCACAGCGGCGCTCACAGCTGGCATCCAATCACGTCGTAAGTAAGAAGAACTAGCCAATACAGTCTATGATCAATGCACAGTAAGGCGGGACTTGACGCAAAACGGGTGGGCAAAAATGAAAGTATATCAAGCTGCAGCCTGCAGACGTGACGGAAGTTAAACTTCCAAATATGGTTCGTCCCAGAAGACACCGCGCATAAAACGTGATGACGTTACTCTCACGTACAGTATTTCCTCCAGCTGCGGTTTAATTTAATATTTCTTTAAGACGTTTACTGGTTCAACTGTTTTTTTTTTTTACGACATGATTGATAGTGATTGTAAAAGTCTATATTTTGTACTATCGTACATTAGAAGAAGAAGAAGAAGAAATAATACACAGCAGGGGTCGGATAAGATTTGCATCGGATCTATTTTTTAACCATTAGATGGTGGGTGAGAATATAAAGCATAATATGTGAGGTTAAAGTTAAGGCAGTTGGTTCGTTCACTTGGTAAAGTTAGTCTATTGTGCCTCGTTCCCTCTCACTATAGACAAGTATGTTTACTATGTGACTAAATGAATACACAGATTAGGCTACCTGTAATATTAATATATTATTATTAATATAACATTATTAATCAACAACATCAACTGACAAGTAATTTCTGTATTTCCATGAAGTTGAAGGTAATGAACATGGTGCTTGGTTGATTTCCACAGTCACTACCCTCTGACATTTACGTGGGAAACAACGAATAGTGTCATTTAACCAAGGGTATTATGGAGGGGAGCATGTTCTCCCCGTGTCTGCGTGGGTTGTCTCCGGGTGCTCCGGCTTCCTCCAAAGACATGCAGGCTAGGTCAGTTGGTGACTGTAAATTGTCCTTAGGTGTGAATGTGAGTGTGACTGGTTGTTTGTCTGTGTGTATGTGCGCTGGACTGGCGACCTGTCCAGGGTTTCCCCCGCCTTTTGCCCAATGTCAGCTGGGATTGGCTCCAGCCCCCCTGCTACCCTGTACACAGGATAAGCTGTAGACGATGGATGGATGGATGGATGGATCATGGAAGGAACAAGTCTCATTTTACTAGGAGCCACTTTATTAAACGTACATTCTAGTTATGGAATCACAGATAATCAGTGCTGATTCAACTCACTTCACTTCTATTTTATTTATATAGTGCAAATTAATAACAAAAGATATCTAATTGCACTTTTCATATAGAGCAGCTCTAGACTGTGCTCTTTGTAATATTATTAATAAAGATCCAGCAATTCCCACCATGAGCAAGCGCTTGACAATACAGGCAAGGAGAAGGGGAGAGGGAGAAGCAGCACAAGACTAAATCCACACAGATATATAGAGTAAAGGTGGTAGTGGTAAAGACAGAAAATTAATAATGGTACTAATAATGATGGCAATAATAGGACTAATAGTAATAATTGTAGCAGCGGGTGTTGAGAAGGAACATGGGGGCAGCAGGAAGCCCACGACCACGGATCCAGAGACAGAAGGAGAGAGGGATGAGAAAGCTCAAAACCACGGGAGAGGGAAAAAGTCAAGTTAGTAACATGCATTAATGGGACAAGAATGCATACAGATTCTAGGCTGCTTTAGAAAGTCTAGGCCTATAGCAGGATAACTAAGGGATGGTTCAGGACTCACCTGAGCCAGCCCTAACTATAAGCTTTATCAAAGAGGAAAGTCTTAAGCCTACTCTTAGATGTGGAGATGGTGTCTGCCTCCTGAACCCAAACTGGAACCTGGTTCCACAGGAGAGGAGCTTGATAGCTGAACGCTCTGGCTCCTAGTCTACTTTTGGAGACTCTAGGAACCACAAGTAACCCTGCATTCTGGGAGCGCAGTGCTCTGGTGGGGTAGTAAGGTACTATGAGCTCTTTAAGATAAGATGGTGCCTGACCATTAAGAGCTTTGTAGGTGAGCAGAAGGACTTTAAATTATGTTCTGGATTTTACAGGGAGCCAAAAGAGCCTTCTCAAGAGCCTTTTAGCAGCCTTTTATCTCTCTATATATATCTATATCTATATATCTATATATATATAGATATATAGATATATAGATATATATATATCTATATATCTATAGATATATATAGATATATAGATATAGATATATAGATATATATAGATATAGATATAGATAGATATAGATAGAGAGAGAGAGAGAGAGAAAATATATAGAAATATAATATTTTCTTCTCCCAGATAAATATGTGTGATAGAATGGAACGCTGTTTTTTTAAATACTGCACAACAGTTTAGTAAGAACTTGAACGCATATGAGGGTCTGACATCAAATTATCCTCCATGAGAAAATCTCCAGACAGGTCCATGTCCCTAATTGAGCTGACAATTACACATATCTGTTTGGAAGTTCATGCTATCACTACAGCCCCATAAACACAAATACTTGGATCAGTCAACAGATCTGTTTACAGTGAAACGACGTGCTGTCCAGTCCGTTCTCTTGCTTACAACAACTTAATGATAGTGTTTATGCTTAGATCCCTCTTACATAACGTACAAGCGGCAGTATTACTGTTCTGATTTGGCACATGATTTCTGTCTGCGCGCGCGCGCACACACACACACACACACGTTGTATGAATCTCATCCGATAGTGTGGAAATACAGTAGGAACATTTTGTTTTTATTAACAAAATTTAGATGAATAAAGGGCTTCAAGATCTCTTACAAATCATTAATGCAACTGGTAAATTCATCTTTATATGTTCCACCAAGCAGCACTTAATATCAGCACTTTGCTGAAATTGAGTGAGACACCCACTTCCTTCTTACATTTACAGTGAATCTGTACATCTGTAGGTGCTGGGCTTTACAAAAAAAAAAGAGCTCAATCAGTTTTACATGTGGTAAATCTAGAAAATCTTCAGGTGCTCTTGAAGTTGTGGCTGTGGCTCAGGAGTCCAGTCGTCCACTAATAAGGTTTAATCCTCACCTCCTCCAGTCTGCATATGAAAGTGTCCTTTGGCAAGATACTGAACACCAAATTATCTGTGTGTGGATGAATGATTTGTTCCATTCTGATGTGCAGTTGGCACATGGCATGGCAGCATCTGCCATGAGTGAATAAATATGGGTGAATGTGACATCACATTGTTGTTTATCCACACATCTAGTGTACATTACTTTGTATATAACTTTTGCTTTTTGTGAGTAGCATAAAGGGAACTACAACTTCAACTCATTATACAACCTGTGTTGTATAATGTTAAATAAATCTGCCATGTACCTTGATAGAATTATGATCTGTATTCTGATCTAATCTGAATCTACATTAATTTTTTAGTTAGCGAAGTTGTACAACCTTTGCGCAGTATATCAGTGCAGACTTTTCAAATCAATCTGCAACTAAACTGCAGCAGTGTAATGTAACTTTGACAAAGACTTGATGTAAACTGTGATGGATTTACAAAACTCAAGCAAGTATCAAAAGTCTTCTATTAGTAGAATATTATAAAGAAATTAATGAACCAATAGCAGCCTAGAAACATACATAACATGGTTGCTTGATGTGCACAAGGGTTTGCTGTGATGAAGTACAGCCTACTGTATATGTTATTTGTCCATTTAATGCTGTTATTTGGGAAAGAGACAGTTTTGATCAATCAAAAATAACGCTCAGCTCAGATTTCATCAGGTATTGTCCACATCAAGTTGTATCGTGTGATAAAAATTTATCTTGTGAATCTCTGTGTTTGTCATCATGGCAAATTGTGGTCATGGACACACCTGTAGGCTACTATATACTACCACATATTACTATGGGCTCACTCTAAAAAATAAAACATTGGGTCAACAAAAAAAAAATTGTTAACGATTGCCACTAGAATTTTTAAGTTAAGACTGCTGGCAGAATTACATTAATTCAAAGCAATGTTTTGAGTATGGTGAATTACCTTTTAGGCCACAATACAACGCATTTCTAATTAACATGAACTTAATAATTGTCAAGATGAATGCAAGTAGTCATGTTGATCCAACATAATGTTTTAAGTTAGTTGAAGAAGCTTTTTGGCCACAATAAAACACATTTCTAAGTAACATGAATGTAATAATTATGTTGATCTCTGCAAGAGTTAAGTTATGTGTTAGTCTAATCATGTCTAGCTAACATTAGCCAGATAACTGGCTAACTGACTTTATAAACGTCGCTAGCCTACATGCTATCCGGAGCAGTGGCTAATGGGTCATCCCATATTACACATATTACATATGCCAAGATGTTTTCCCTGGCTACCTATTACTCCTGCATTTCAGCCTACTCAATCAGTGACAGGCTACAGCTACTAGCTAACTTTACCTCGCTGTGGCCCTGTGATCACTGGTCTGCCTTGAACATGTGCCTAGTATAACATCTTGCCAATGGACTACAGTTGAAAATTAGCCTGCTGGCTAACACTGGCACATTTACAGAAATGTTGATTAATGTGCACTGTCCTTAAATAAATAAATGAGAAATGAGAAATGCCCGCACATGCAAGAGAGGGA